AAACACGTACAGTTCACAAAATGAAAGTTAAGTATAAGCAGAACCACAGAACTCGGAACCAAACCTATGAAAAGAAAATTCCAAAGAAAACGATTCATACCTAGTGTCGTCCAAATGCGAGACCGAAACGAGTCTTGGTCTTGCAAACTCAGTCTTGGTCACGGTCTTGCAGTTACTTATTATCTTATTAATATAGAGATATTACTGTAATTTTTTAGATAAGATAAACATAGCTAAGCCTGAATGAAAAATTAGAGGAGTTAAATGCAAAAGTATATTTGTTATACCAATTAGTAACATATAGTAACTAAGATTGTCAAGTATTAGCAACTATTTTGCCTTAATTTTTAATTAAAAAATCGATTCTTTTTACTAGTCCTGGTCTTGGTCTTGCAACAGGTAGGCTGCCTTGGTCTTGATCTTGCGAAATGCAAGACCAAGACCGATTTTGGGTAACACTATTCATAACTTACAGTTTGGTTTTGGATAAGGGAAACTAAGTATAATATCGTTATTCTAGTGTAAGATATTTAAATGTACACCGATTTCAATTTTATGTTACAAAAACTTATTACTAGTGTTACCCAAAATCAGTCACCGTTATGCTACAGTTTCATCAACAACTGTTTCAAGACCAAGACTGGTAAAAAAAAAAAGTTTAAAAAACACTCAGTATGTAGTGGCTACATTTAAAAAAAAATAATAAATTTAATAACGTTTCAAAAAAATTAATCATAAAAAAATCATCTAAATCGGACGAGTTTTACCAACGTTGCAGAGTATTGAATTTTATACTCTGGTTTTAATAATTGTCCACTTGCCCGTTTACCTTACTTTTGTCGAAAGGAATTGTACTCTAATGATTTCTCTGATCGGTTACCAGGAAAATTAGTCTAATGCAATTGTATCATTTAATGAAGATATTTAAAATAAAAAAATTAAAATCGATAAGAAAGTCATGTGAGTGGACACACTAGATTTTATTTAAATAATTGGTGACATTGTAGAGATTGTCTTTACATTCTATGGAGGAGGGCTATCGCTATATTTATTTCTTGACAATGCCTTCAATGTATTGTGAAGTTAATTTTATTAATTTGGTTGGTCTTTACTATGTTAATGTCGATAAAACATCTAAATGTATCTGTCATGTAGCATTTTTTAAGAAGCTAATATAATAGGTAACTGCAGGACTTAGATGGGATTAGAATACGAAAGCATGCATATGACCAATAAAGAACTGCTTACAGAAACTGGTCAATCAATATCCCATAATATAAAGTTTGAGAGCTTAATACTGGCAGGACATGTAACTCGGAGCAATCCACAAGGAAGCCCCTACACAACAAACAATGCCTCAAAATCAGGCAAGAGACCATGGAAGGAAAAAAAATCAGATTGATAGATCGAATCGACAAAGATGGGGAATATTGAAGCGCAGAAAAAATGTAATGCCTCCAAAAAGAGAAAATCGTCAGTAATATTCGAATATTGGTTACATTAAAAATATATGAATAACAATGCATTAGTTTTTTATAGTGAATATTTTAATTTTCATTGATGTTATTATTAATACAATTTCCTATAAATGAAAAATGTGAACGTTGAAAAGGGCGTTATTCAATGGATTTACATATTTTATTATATACATTATTTATTATTACTGGATTGAACTATATATATATATATATATATATATATATATATATATATATATTTGTATTTTTTAAGATTTCTTACTGAAATTCCTTGAGCAAGAAACATTACTTGAAAGTAACAGATATACTGTTCTGAAATTTAGTTTGGATCTGTTACATATTTATGAAGTTCTTTTTTTCTCTCTTTGTTGGCGGTTCCTACTGCGAAGATACTGATATCATCAAAAAGGGAAAAACTTTTCCATCTTTCCTTAGAAACTGCAACCAAGTATCTCCTTCCAACATTGGTGTATTCTTCTCATATTCTTATTCCATTTATTATTATTTACTGACCAAGACTGTTTCACATTTGTCAAATGTAATAGCAATCGAAAATAACATTTTAGCTTAGCTTGGGAATATTTTGAATTGAATAGAAATTTCCATAATCTCTTGAATTAAACATCATCGCAATCAGTTATTTAAAGTTTCATTTTGTTTAAATATTCTTTCCTTCGTATTAAATTATTTAAATGCTTAAACTAATTGTGAGATTAGCCATTCATAGGAAAAAATATCACGCCTAAATATTACATTTTATTACTAACAGACAGTAATCTTAGTTGAACAAGTAAATAAAAGTTGTTTTTTTCCTTGAGACTGTCTTATACCCATTTACACCATCTTTTATTACTTTTCTACCTATACTTGGTAAGGAAAGTATTGCGATCGGGCGAAATTTTCGATATGCGATTTTCAACGGATCTATACCTTTCAGAGCTCCCTGAGTCCGAAAAACACATTTTTAGCCATTGGTCTGTCTGTCTGTGCCAAGATTTTATCGGGGACAAGTGAACCGGTTTTGTTGATGGTTTTTTATTTTGTAGGATTTTGACTATTGATGCCTACGACACAAATTGGGTGCTCCATGCGCAATAAATGAAAAATATGTTTTCCTATAGACTGTAGCGCGAAAACGGCCCTAACGATTTGGATGAAACTTTCATATAATGTTCTAATAATTGTTCTTTCAATTTTTGTATAATTATTAACGAATTTACGGCTATTCAATTTCCAATGTAAGAATACGGGTTCATATACTGGTGTCAGATAGGGGTGAATGAGAGAAAAAATAAGTGAGACTAAGAAAATCGGATGCCCGCATCACACAAGTTTCACTATTTCCTCTACTTTTAACATAAATTATTGTTTGAGAAAATTAGGCTATGGAAAAAAGTTGTTGATCAGCAATATTAGAGGATATTGACATTTTTATCCTGATCTACCTTAAGTCGGTTTACATTGCTTTATTTTATCTAATAAATCGTACTCAAATCTTTTATTTGACCAATTTTCGGGAAAATAGATCTAATTCATTTTTTTTTTTGTTACTTGATGGACATATGTAACGATATAAAAACTTTTCTGAAATAGATAGGAAAGTCGTGTGAGTGGACACACCAGATTTTTTAATTTTAAACTTTAGTTCATTTAACGGTCTTGTGTTTATTTATTTAGATTGGAGTGAAAATAATGGATCGTTGTATACAGTTAAAAGAATAATATATAAAAAAATATTTCTTATCTAGATAAAAACAAAATTAAAATTTTAAAACAATGAAAACCAAGATTTAATATTTAATGTAATTTTTTTTTATTGTTTTGGTTTGAGGTATTTTTCGAAAACAATAACTACAGAATCTTTTTTCCACTATGTTCAATAAAATTCTTAAAACTAAACTTGAGAGCACGTCTAGTGACAGGATATATTTTAGTATATACCTAGAAATTGCTCGATTATTTATACATAAAAAAATAATTTTGAATATATTTAAACTACCTTCGGGCGGACCTTGGCGGTTTAAATTAATATGAATGTGTGTTTAACAATGACTGTCAAAAAGTATCAAGAAATCAATTTTCCGGAGGATATCAGAATATTTTTTAAATCGCAGTATTTGTAAAAATTTGATTTAAAAACACATATTATCGTTAACAAAAAAGAGATAAGATTCGAAGTAAAATAAGTTTCCTTAATGATTATATATATATATATATATATATATATATATATATATATATATATATATATATAAACTTAAGTATTTAATTGGGAATAAGGTCACTTATTAATTATTTAATAAACTATTGAATGTTCATTTCTTCTATGCTTATTGACGTTTCGATCCCGGTATTTTCTTTTTATAAGTCAACGATGGGATCCTCTTCAAAGCTAGATTTTTAAAAAATGGAGCTTCGATCAGGCCAGGGACACACCGACAGTCTCAGCACCGTCTACTAGCACATATATTAAGCTCTTAGGGCGGGGTGGCCGAATGGGCTAACGCGTGTGCACTGCACCGCCGTTGCCCGGCAACCGGATATATGATTCTATGATATGAAAATAGCCACGAGTTCGCTTCCCGGTGCCAGAGGGGATTTTAAATTCCCCGCCCTCATCCTCTGGTCCGGGAAAATCCCGTATAGCCTAAAAGGCGAGGTAGGGAAGAACAGGAAAAAAAAAACAAGAAAAAAACATATATTAAGCTACTCTGTGAGTCAATAAGCATAGAAGAAATGAACTTTCAATAGTTTATTAAATAATTAATAAGAGACCTTATTCCCAATTAAATATTTAAGTTTAAATTTAATACTCAAAGGTCGATTAAGGAAAAGTTGTAAACATATATATATATTTAATTAATCAGAATGACAGTGACGTTAAATTTGAAGTTTCGAGAAAAATTATCAACCATCAGATCGAACCAAGCAATTTTACAAATCCTACAAATCACGCGAAATTCTACAAATTAACTAGGTTTTCAATTGAACTATTTACTAAAAACAGTATAAAATGTTCATTATGCCAACTAACAATATTCTCACAAACTGCCTAAGGTATTAAACACATATAAGGATTAAACAGTTCATCTAGTTTTTAGAGTCATAAAAAAATATTTTTTTTGCCGATATCGCAGGTTTTTCATTACTCCTCCCACTGTGCGGCCTCGGAAAACGAATATTGAAGGTCCCACTGTGGTAACTAGAGAATGGTCATGTGGTCAACTTGCCGGACTAGCTCCTCCACAAGTATCTTTGGGTAACGCATGTGTCTAACACTCGTTGTTTGGCAATCTGATTAATCAGATACCATGATAAAATAATTTCGTGATAATTGTTTATCAGAAAATAGCTGCACAAGATATACCTACTCTGGTGAGTTGTTTTAAGATGTAAACGTGTGTGTTTAATAAACTAATAGATAGTTGCAAGACTTGGCTAAGTTTACCCTGCGTCATCAAGAAACATTAACAATAGCGATCTAATGAGCAAATACATACTAAATAGAAGAGTATTACGTACCTGAGGTATGGCAAAGGCCAGGGCGACCACCCAGATGACCAGGATGAGCCTGAAGGCCCTGGACAACTTGGACATGGTGTGCGAGAGGAACGGATGGCAGATCGCGACGTAGCGCTCCACCGTGAAGGCGGTGATCGTGAGGACAGTAGCGTTGGCAGAGGTCTCTGCTGCGAGGCCACGGAGGAGGCAGAACGCTTCGCCGAAGACGTAGGGGTACCTGTCATCAAAAATAAAAGAACAATGATCATGAAAAATTAATATAAACGAATATATATATATATATATATATATATAATATATATATATATATATATATATATATATATATATATATATATATATATATATATATTAATGCATTATATTAATTGAATATTGGAAAATTATATATTAATTTTTATATTATAAGCTTAAATATATGAAATGTCCACGGAAGAAAAAGGGAGAGTCATCAGAAACGCATTTCTGGAAAATCAAGGTTTAAACTTTGAAGCTTCCCTTTTATGGAAATCATCCAACATTCTTTATACCCTGTTATTCCTCTCAATGATAAACACCATTATGTGAATTACTATTTCATTCTGTCTCATCATTCAACTTGAAAACTGCAGACAGTTTAGCAGTGAGTACATATTTCAAGAACTATCGCTCGCAATCACTTTAGATATAATTCAGGAATGGACCTTCAAATCCACAATCATGCGAAAAAACGGCTGTTCCTTCACAAGCAATATTTGCCTTAACTAAGATCCGCTTGGGAAGAAAACCTATAAACACCTACACCATTGACAGATACATCTTCGCACATCGTATACACTAAACGAGTGGTGTATACGAAGAATGTATAAAGAGCTCAGAAGTACGTATACTTTTTGAAGTGGGCTTATTTATTCTGGGTTAGGAATTCAGAAAGGATGCAAATTTTTAATTGACTATGAATTTTCGGAGAGAACAATGTTCAATTTGTGACCAACAATTTTCAAACAAGGAAAGGTTTTTTCTCGGTTATCCCCTACCTCAGCATTTCTGAAGAACGGGGGATGGGAGTTATTCTACAGGTGGAACCAAAATTACTCTTATTATTGTGGGAGGATCAAGGTTCATTACTTTAGGATCTAGAAAATTTGAGTTGTGTTCGTGATTTTTTTTCAAAACTTTTTAAGTTACGAAGTTTGTTATGGAACTGTAGCAAAATTCGGAAGTAAACAAGAGTTTCTCTGGCCTTATAATACATCACAGCCCTTTTTAATTAAAAATATTGAATAAAAAAAAATTAAGTTATTCAAACATATATTTTTAATTAATCCCCTCCCTCACCATTTTTGAAGAAGGGGGGAAGGGAGTTGTTCTACAGGTTGAACCAAAATTATTCTTATTATTGTGGGAGGATCAAGGTTCATTACTTTAGGATCTAGAAAATTTGAGTTGTGTTCGTGATTTTTTTTCAAAACTTTTTAAGTTACGAAGTTTGTTATGGAACTGTAGCAAAATTCGGAAGTAAACAAGAGTTTCTCTGGCCTTATAATACATCACAGCCCTTTTTAATTAAAAATATTGAATAAAAAAAAATTAAGTTATTCAAACATATATTTTTAATTAATCCCCTCCCTCACCATTTTTGAAGAAGGGGGGAAGGGAGTTGTTCTACAGGTTGAACCAAAATTATTCTTATTATTGTGGGAGGATCAAGGTTCATTACTTTAGGATCTAGAAAATTTGAGTTGTGTTCGTGATTTTTTTTTCAAAACTTTTTAAGTTACGAAGTTTGTTATGGAACTGTAGCAAAATTCGGAAGTAAACAAGAGTTTCTCTGGCCTTATAATACATCACAGCCCTTTTTAATTAAAACTATTTAATAAAAAACAATTAAGTTATTCAAAAATATATTTTTAAATAATCCCCTTCCTCACCATTTTTGAAGAAGGGGGGAAGGGAGTTGTTCTACAGGTGGGAAAAAAAATATTCTAACCAGTAAGCTAAAGTTTTATTTCTCGAGTCCACCAAAAAAAAAAAAAAAATTCAATACAGGCAGGATTCAAACCCCAGTGTCGAACATCTTCGTCGAACCAGTTTTGAGAAAACTTTAAGTTAAACTTAATTATAAGGTTACTAAAGTGTCTCCTATGAATAGAATGATCGTTCCAAACAGCGTTGGTGATGTTTTATTATTTTTTTTTTAACTTATAACTGTGAGTCAAAATATTGGCTGTTGAATATGCTACTTCATAAGTTTTAAAATTTAAATTAAAAACATTCTAGACCGTCCTTATAGAATATGTTTACGTCATAGAAGGTTATTTTATAATTTTGGATTATTTACTTGAATATATGCATTCCTGTGTGAAAAAGTTTTATACGACCTTTAAACCTCTAATGTAATAGGATTAGGGAAACATCAAAGACTAGGATCCATGGTGTAGGATGGAATTTTGTAATTAGAGGTTCGGTTCTTGGAATATTAGTATTACTCTATTATCCGGATCACTGTAGTCTAAATTATTCCGGATAAAAGAGGGTTTGATGGGTAAACAGCAATTGGATACTTGCCTGGAAAAAATCGCGTGAATTTGAGCTGTATTAGAATTTAAGTGATAAAGAACTCAAGACATTGAGACTACGATTTTTAAATAATAAAAAAAGATTTAAATTTGGCTGAAAACTTAAAATAACAGCGCGTTTCTGAGGTGTGGTGGGGACTGAGGGCCAGGTCCACTGAATCATGACGTATATCACAACCAAGTAATATTCTTTTAAAACTTACTGTTCTTGTTCATTAAGATTTATTTATAAAAACTAATAAAATAAATTCTCAACTAAATATTTTTATTTAAAAAACGACAGGGTGAGAGAAAAGGCGGAAAAATGTGTTTTGGGTAGGATTTTTGAAGCTTGGAACACTAGTTTTAAGTTAAAAGGGTAAAATAATAAACAGGTCAATAATTAAGTAGGTTATTTAGCTTTACCTCCACATTTGTGACGTAGTTTCGTCTCTAAAACTTTTGTTTGACGCTGATCTCAGGCGGATCTACGGGCGGGGGGGGGGGAGAGGGCTTTCGGGCTGAAGACCCTCCTCCCAAAATGGTAAAATGTAACCATCTTTTATGGTAAAAAATATTTAAAAAATATCTGTTAAAGTATTATTGTTCGTGTAATTACATTTAATAGGACTTAAAAAATCACATAAACACCATTTCATATATGTAGATAGTATCTTTCTTTTTTTTTAGAGTAATTATCGTTATATATATGAAAACCAAATCTTTCGGGCTGAAGCTCCCCCTCCCAAAAAAAAAATTAAATCCTGGATCCGCTAGTGACGCTGATCATCATTGTATTTATGCATCAATAATAATAATAATAATGTGACAAACATTTACAAATATTAATTGAATGTATGTTATACAATTGTAAGTATGTGTAATTTGAATAGTTTTTTAAAATAATTAGTAATAAGAAAATTTTTTTGGTGATTTTTTCGTCGGCACGGTTGTGCTTGATACTGACCCCTTTTTCAGATTAATAACATCCATCTTAAACATCATGAATAGCTTCATCTTATCGTAATTCACAAGTTTTTTTCTACGAAACCTCTCGAAAATGGGACATTTTCTCAATAAATTAAATAATTAAGGACTACAAACTCATGAATAACCATTTGTTTTCCACTTGAATCGTAAAATAATCAGATAAAATCGCGAAAAAATAGTGGACCACAAAAATATCGAGCCGTTTGGTCTATATGACCTCGTTATTTTGACACATTGGATGCAGAGGTCACAACAAACTTTTGTTGGTTACCTGTATTCTCGACTTTGCAATTAAATTATCTTCGGATTCATGTGGGTATTCAAGAGATTTCGTACGTCATTTGATAGAAAACCGAACTTCTGATTAAAAACGCTCCATTTCCGATAATTGTAGTAAAAACAAAAGTTGTAGGTTACGATTTGATAAAGCTATTCACGCAGTTTTAGAAGAAGTTGTTTTATCAGAAATACTGGCTCTGGTAGCCTCTTTGTACTGTTATACGAAATTAAAATTTCTTCATAAAATTGTGCGATAATGGCAAGAAACTGACAGTTGTAATTTAGAAAAAAAAAACAATGATACAGAGACGATAATGTGCTGAGCTGAACTAAAATCTATATATTTAAAGAAACCAATGTTATTACGCAAAGAATATTGATAACTAACGTTTATCTTTCATCATTGTTAAGTCAAAAAAGGATAATTAAAATTCAGGACATGAAGATGATTTATATATGAAGATGATATAACATCACTTCCAACATTCCCTAAAAAGTATAATTAAAGAGGATCAATTTACTGATATAACCACTTGAGGTATCATTGAATTGCAGACTACCAAGTAAGCGGTTGAAATGGAATAGAATGGACAAAGGGGTACAGAGTCATTGAATGGAATGAAAGACCAACTCAAAGAGTGATTTCCTTTCCTCTTTGGATGGATTCCTAGAAACAGACTAATATTCGACTTCCCACAACGAAACTACGGTTTTGTACTTGATGTTAGAACAAATTAAAGCCTTCAGGCAAAACCAGATCGATTCCCAGTACCCAGTGAATGCTGCAGTTAAATTTATATTCCGCTATTCAGTTGGGGCAGTTTGTTAAATGTCTATCACAGAAGACGACGAAAGACACATCCGTATCACTTTTAATCAAATTTCAATATCTATATTAAAAATATAGACTAAAAATATATTAAAATATATAAAAATATCAACTGCCTCCCGCGGTATGTTTAGACTTTTATTGTGATTCTTTTCTTAACACACCTATCCTTCAACTATACACCTTATTATTATCTCCATGCAGCCTACTATTCCATTACCGCTTTCAAAAAATTGAATGTCAATTGTCATCTATATATAGCACAACTTGTTTTTTTTTTTTTATCATCATAACCTTGTTTTACATTTATACTTACATTCTAAAGTTCTCTTTTAAAATTATTGTTTTCTTATAGAGTTATTTATACTTAATAATCTATCCTAACGATATTACACTAATGTTACCCTATTAATCTTTCAATTTCTTTACTTCTTAACCTTTAGTCCCGTTATCTGTTTACCTACAATCAAATGTAACCTCCACTAGCTTGTTATCCACTGATATCTTATTATTATGTTATCTTATTCTTATTTTAACTGTACTATAACAATACTTATTCAATTTTCAATCTATTTATACGTT